TGTTGTTGTTGTTCTTAGTTATACATGGCAGTAGAATGTATTTTGACATATCATACATACATGGGGTTGTACATGATTCTTGTGTTGTACATGATGCGGAGTTACCCTGATGTATTCATATATGTATTTATATTCCTATATTTTCACATAGGAAAGTTATGTCCAATTTATCTTTCCCATTCCCATCCTCCCTCACTCTCCCCTATTTCCCCCTGTCCAATCTGGTGAACCTACACTACTCCCTCCCCTCTGCTATTGTGAATCCACATCCACATATCAGAACATTTGGCCTTTGGTTTTTTGGGATTGGCTTATTTCACTTAGCAAGATAGCTTCCAGTTCCATCCATTTACCAGCAAATGCCATAATTTCATTCTTATCTATGGCTGAGTAATATTCCATTCTGTATACGTACCACAAGAGTTCTTGATTCATCTAGCTAGTTGTCTCTGATATACTTATCATAAACAAAGGTGTCTCAAGGTTGTTTTTCAGTTTCTTCCATTGTTTTGAATAAAATTGACCACAGGAGAGACTATATTTGTGTCTTTTCCATCTAAGACAATGTTCACATGATATTCAAGGAATAAATTCTAAATAAAAAGGGCTATAAATGGGTCTTTATTTTTTTGTTCTAAAATATCCAATGAAAGGGCTGGGGTTGTGGCTCAGTGGTAGAGTGCTTGCTTAGCACATGTGAGGCCCTGGGTTCGATCCTCAGCACCACATTAAAAAAAGTAAATAAAGATATTGTGTCCGACTACAACTAAAACATTGAAAAAAAATCCAATGAATACTTTTTCTCAATACCTTTTATTGTATTTAGYATATTTACTACTGTTTCCTTTCCATTTGTTTTGTTTTGGATTTTTTCTCTTTACCACTGAGTGCCAACCAGGTCCATAAAAAATTCTCTCTAAGCTTAGGTTCTAAGCCTGGCCAGAGGAGGAAGTGGTGACGGGATAAAGAGTAAGCCTAGTAGAAGGTCATAAAACCACCTCAAAGTATCAGTACAAATGAGATGTTTTGTAGAGCCCTTTCCATGGTTTTTGTGTTTAGCCTTTCCTCACCTTCCTTAGAAAGAAAGGTTTTTCTTTCTTTTTGTCCTAATTCTGACCTCCTTTTTCAGAAGTAAGCTCTAAAGTAATTTCTGAACAGATGAACCATGTGTACCCCAATTAATAATTAATAATGTTTTTAACTTCAGCTATACATGAGAATCAACTAGGGGAGCTTTTCAGAATTGTGATACCCACACTACCCTTTAGAATGATTAAAGCACTGTCTCTGGGAATAAGACTCAGGCAATAACATTTTTTAATTTTTAATTTTTTTTTTTTTTTGAAATGGGGTCTCATTATGTTGCCAAGGCTATTATCAAATTCCTGGGCTCAAGTGATCCTACTGCCAGCAGGAACTACAGGAGTGCACCTTTGCTCCTGGCTAATAGCATTTTTAAGGCATCAACACTCCCCTCCCAACAAAGACACACAAACAGATGATTGAATGATTCCATTGTGTATGTAARTTTGAAAATCATACTTATTTGTACATAATAGAAATAGTTATTAGTATTTGAAAGTTTGAATCATAGTCTAAGAAACCTCCAGATTTCTATAAAGGGGAAATTAAAACTTAAAGATGTCCACAAATTAGACTGCCTTTGCAGACATACTTTGTGCAACTTTTTAAAAAAAAATCTATGCTCCAGTATTAGTCTGTTCATTTTTCCTAATCATGGTTCTATTCCTCCTTTTTCAGCCTTTGTTCATCCTGTTTGAGAAATACCCCTCCTCTGTTTTTACATTTTGTAATCCCTCTCATGATAAACACACAYTACCACTTCTTTGAATCTTGTCTTCATTATTCTTCAACCAGAAGGAGGTTCTTCCCTTCAGAACTTCCCTCTTTTTACTTTAGTATTCTGTATGATTTCACATTCATGTTTTATTTCTCCTGCCAGTTTGAAAAGCCTAGTTCTGTTTATCTGTACAGCCCTCTTATTGCCTTGCTTTGCATCTTTGCATGCCTTGCATGCAGTAAATGTTATATAAGTCTGTTTGAATAAAAGGAATTTCATGATTTTCAGATGTCATGCTGCAGATGTGTGCTTTTCTAGAACCAGGGGAAAAGCAGATGTGTAATGTCTTTTCTATTTGCTTTCACGCTTTTCCAGTTATTCAAATTCTTGGCTGGGATGACCTCTTTATTTAACTATGTGATTTTCATCCCATGTCTCACCATTTAGTAATCTTCAGGAACCAGCTTCTGGAAATGTTGACTCTGGTTTGGAGTGCTCTGTAGTTTGTTACAGAGCAAGCTTGTTATTAAGTGACTTCTAAGTTTATTTTCTGAGCCTGGAAACAAAATTTTGTGATAGACCTCAAAGGCTTTGAGTGTAGATTGATTTTTAGGTTTTGGCAACACCATTTTATATACTATTATAAGTTTATAGACAAGGTAAATAAATCCTCTTTCCCAAATCCTGAAGATGCATTACAGTTTTGTTTTTTAACAATCACAGCACAATGATCTCTGAATTTCTACAACTGATGAAATAAAATAAAAGAAAGTTTTTAGACTTGTAGTCTATTTTTAGAGTAGACAGAGCATCTGCTTACTATTGTAGGTACATAGTGAGAACTATGGAAGAAGCAAATATGGAACTGTAGCAAAAAAAAAAGATTATGCTTTGAAAACAGTGTCATTAATTRTATATGTGTGTGCGCTAAATTTCTTGCATGCCAGCTATTTTCAGCTTCATTCTTCTTTAATATTTTTGTCATAAGAGCTTGCCTTCAGGGTGAATTCAAAATGGGCAAAACTATAACAATGTAGAAATTGTTTTCCTGTCAGCCAGCTAATTCAATTAGTCTAATTCCCTCATGCTTATCATTCTTTTAAAAGACCTACTCCAAATAAATCACAGCATTTCCCCCTTAGTTGTATTGACTTTGAGAGGGCTTTGAAGCATTGCATGCCTATCCACTTCTCCCCAGGCAGGATGTCTTTCCATCCCAGCTGTTTTCTTTCTTACAAACGTTCGAAACATCACTTTTGTTCCACCTATAATTTTTGAAGCTTGAAATTGCAGTCAATGCTGATTTGGTTCCCACCATCTCATTGAGGAAGCAGGTTTTGTGGATCAAAGCTTATTTTGGTCTTTCTTTACTTTTCCTTCCCCCCCCCCTTTAAATTTCTTTTTAAAGAATTAAACATTTTAAACATTGCTGCTTGGAAATAGAACTTCTTGGAATATGCAAACTCTTTTAATCTTGTTTGGGTTTGTGCCTGTGTATCCTGGTGGAAAGACTGGATCTGAAACATCCCTGAGATGTCCCAGCTCCATTTTCTTTCCAAGTTTTCTCAAAACTGCCACACCCCACCACTACTACCACTTGGGTTTCCCTAGGTCATATTTCTTTACAATGTAGAATTTTCTTAGGCTTTGACAGACAAGTTGAATGGCATGTATTTCCAACAACTCGGTAGAGCAATTTTCAGATTCTATATGGGCATCTAGTAYTTAGCTAAATGAACTCTACCTCTCTCTCCTCTCTCTCCTTTCTCTCTTTCAGCTTGGCAGTGACCTTGGCGGGGGCATTGGAGGAAGTCCGGCAGTAAGTGCCATCCGTTTTTTTCACCATGGGAAGCACTGCTCCCTGATTGATGCCTTTCCTTTGCACTCATTATTAGACCAGCCACTGCTGCTGTCTAGCACTGCACACCAAAACCTTTATAGTAATATGAGGAGTAGATAGTAGTTTAGGGTTATTTGGAATCTTTGGAGTCATGTGCCACATGTGATCTAGGGACATCTTCAGGGATTGCTCTGGTGCCTATAGAGATCTTTGTGTTTCTGACATTAAAGAGCTGAAGGAAATGGAACCTCCCATCTTGATGAAGAATGCTCTTATTCCCTGGTGTCATCTAGAAAGAACTTTAGAAAGTCACCTGGACTCAGTGAGACTCCTCATTAATGGGAGTGTGAATACCATCTYCCCCAGGAGAGCTTCCTATTAGATATTTATGCCTAAATGGGGACATAATATTTGGCTGAACCCAAGTGGAAATGAAACTGCTGTTTAAGTTGGATGCTTCTCCCTCTTTCTATAGAAATCAACTTCCCCTTTATTAGGGTATCTATAGGCCTTTTGCACAGAATCATGGAAGCTAAAATTGGAAACAGAATCTTGGATCACTATGTTCCTGTATCCTGCTGAATGCTCTTGCTTGATAAGGCTTCTGAAGAGTGTGTGTATCTTATTAGTAATGAAAAAATAACTTTGATGACTAAAAAGACAATATACTAATCTGGCAGCTAAGAATATCATTAATTATGGTGTTTTCTTATTGATATATCAATACTGCTAAAACTAATAGCATTTTAAGGACTGTTAATCTGTTCTTCCTGATCTTCTCTCTCCCTTTTCTCTCCCCTGCAGGTGGGACAGTCCTTCATCCCGTCATCAGTGCCTGCCACCTTTGCTCCTTCACCTACTCCTGCAGTGGTCAGCAGTGGTCTAAATGACCTATTTGAACTTTCCACAGGGATAGGAATGGCACCTGGTGGATATGTGGCTCCTAAGGCTGTAAGTAAAGAGTTAGCATAGCAATATGTTTTTTCCCTCTTAATGGACAAACCCAAATCACTTCTAACATTTGTGTTACTTCTACTATTAACACATCCAAGATTTGGCTCTTGTACTGAGGAACTTGAAAGAGAAATATAAGACAACTTCAAAATTAACACTAGGAAGCATTGTTAGAATCCTTGTTAAACATTTTTATAATTAGATTTAAAATTGGAAATATTAAGTATTTGGATTTTGTTCTCATGTTTAGAAATGTTGACTAGTTTGTCAACAGTAAAGTGAATCTAGTGAAAATCTGATATATGGTACRTAAGCAGGAAAAAGATACAGCAGAGAGAAGTACCATTTTTCATTCCTTGTTCCTTTTATTCTCCCTTCCTTATTGGWATTACATATGGATTCTAGAGTGCTCAGAATTACTTTTCATGTATTTTAGTGGACCTCTTTAGAATTCTGATTGAGGTTTGTGTCTCAAACCTGGGACTCTTCCAGTCTCAACCTTGCATAATGTCATTCATGGTGAAATTTAAATACAAGGCAGGGAAAYACCCTGTAAACAAAGCTTATTTAAGCTCTTTGGAAAAGTACTAAATCAGGCTTGACTTTATTATATCTTGATTTTCTGAAGACCAGCCTATCTGCTTGCTTCCTGATTTCTCTGCCTGCTCATCTAACTCTTAGGGGAGGATCCTTGCTATCAAGATGTAGACCAGTTGTCTATTCCAGGAGACATAATGCTGTGCATACAGCCATTGCAGAGAATAACCAAACTTATGACAAAACAACCATAATGTTTTGGCACAACTTAGTATTGTAAGTGTATCTATAGGGTTATCTTGCAATTTGCTTGATCATTTAAACATTTTCAAACAGATATTACTATCTTGCATACCAAAGAGGTAGTGTCACATTTCTTTCTCATCAACAAAATATAAGAGTGCCAAGTTTCTTATATCCTTCTTCATTGGGTATTATTCGGTTTTTCGAATTTTGACCCTCTGATAAGTAGATATAAAAAAACTTACAAGTGTTTATCTTTYTCTTCTTCCCCTCCTTCCTTCTTTTTCTGTATATTATCATGATTATTCGCCGCCCACAAACTCTGGTTTTTTGTCTTAGCTGATCAGAACAGCTCATGAATTTCTAATTTTTTAAAAAAATGTTTTTTGGGCTGGGGTTGTGGCTTAGTGGCAGAGCACTTGCGTAGCATGTGTGAGGCACTGGCTTCGATTCTCAGCACCGTATATAAATAAATAAAATAAAGGTCCATTGACAACCTAAAAGAAAATTTTAGGTATAAGCCAGTAATGTCACAGTGGGACCAAGGGGTGGGTAATGAATCAATTATATGTATGAGAAAAGGCATTCAGATTACTTAAGCAAATCTTGAGTATTTACTATTTATCAGAAACAATAGCAAGAGTTAAAATATAGGTAAGACATGGTCTTTTTCCCTAAGAAGATTACTGATAATGATGAACTTCTTAAAAAATTATACTGTCAGAATTTTTCTTTTACTTGTATTATGTTTTGGTAGTAATACTCAAAAACAGTAAAATTACCAAGTTAACCAGAGGATAGAGAAAGGGCCTGGGTCACCAGTAGATGGTTGTTTTCTTTTTGTTTTGGGTTTTTTTGCGTGTTTGTTCTTAAATAATTGAGAATAGTCACAAATTTCAGAAAATACTACTTTGTCCAGACCCTTCTTGACTTGATGTTTATGGCATAAAAATCACCATAATTGCCTGAGGAAATGAAATCTTGGCTTCATCTTTATTTGTTAAAAAAGGAAATAACATCAAGATAAATCATATCTTGTTGTCTTGGGCTTCATACTGTTTCAGGTCTGGCTACCAGCAGTAAAGGCTAAAGGTTTAGAGATTTCAGGAACATTTACTCACCGCCAAGGGCACATCTATATGGAAATGAACTTCACCAACAAAGCTCTGCAACATATGACAGACTTTGCAATCCAGTTTAACAAGAATAGGTAAGAAATAAGAGTCCCTGGCTTGATGTCAACGTAACAGAGTACTTTGTGTGTAATAAGAGAATGTTTCATTTAACCATGGGTAAAAAACTCACAGGTGGGCAGATACTCAATTTAGAGTGACCCTGGGATCAGGATCTTCCTTTTTCAGCTTCAACTCTGGAGGCCCTGGATAATTTGAGGCACGGGGATGGGGTAGGGGTGTACTCATCCATGTGTTTTTTTGTTTGGAGATTTGGTTTTGGTTTTTTTGGTACTAGGGATTGAACTCAGGGGCAGTTAACCACTGAGCCACATCCTCAGACCTTTTTATCTTTTATTTAGAGACAGGGTCTCACTGAGTTGCTTAGGGCCTTCCTAAGTTGCTGAGGCTGGCTTTGAATTCATGATCCTCCTGCCTCAGCCTCCTGAGATGCTGGGATTATAGGCATGTGATTCAATACATTGTGTATTTAAATGTGTTTTAAACAATGAAATCCTTTAAACAGACTTATCCATATGGAATGAAAAAATCGGAACTTATTTATTGTTTTTTTTAAAGAAGTCTAATACTAGAATTTTTAAATAAAATAATTAAAACAAACTTAATTGGGATCTATTTGTTCAACAAATAATTGTTAAGCATATATATGCCAGACATTTCTAGATACTGGTGCTTTAGTTGAGAACCAAAAAACCTGATGTCTAAAGTTTATGTTTTGGTAAGAAAAAACTAGTGTACACAGAGGTGTAAGAAATATGGAAGACGGTCTGCATGTTAAACACATAATTGTGTATAGCTCTTAGCAATGAGTTCTTGGCCTGGATAATAAAAAGAACACAGAGAAGTAAAATGTTGGTCTTGTACTTCTCAAACATCATTGTTTTATTAAATTTTGTAGTTCAGGAAACTGGCTGCTAGGCTTCAACAGTGGGTTCATTCATTTGTAAATACAAGATATACAACTCTGCTTGTAACAAAGTAGTAATTGGACCCTCAAAGCAGATTTAATAAATTTGTTAATGATAATTTGCATCAGTGATTGATTTATTTCTAATCATATAGAAATACTTGGTGTCTTGGATTTGAGAATTTGGCACATCAGAAATAATTTTAGGCTAGGATTGGTGTGGCACATGCCTRTAATCTCAGTGGCTTGGGAGGCTGAGGCAGAAGGACCTCAAGTTCAAAGCCAATCTCAGCAAAGGTGAAGCTCTAAACAATTCTCCCTGTCTCTAAATAAAATTCAAAGTGGGGCTGGGGATATGGCTCAGAGGTCCAGTGC